TGCTCCAACCGGGACTAAAACCCGGAGTGCTGGCGTTGCAGGCGGAGGATTAGCCTAGTGAGCTGTGGTGCTGGCCAAATAAATAAATCTTAAACAAACAAACAAAACACCTTTCTAACTGCAGAAGTATAGATGTATTAAAATACTCAAATAATTATTTAAAGACAAAAAGAAATCTTCTTTCTCCTAAGTCTCATTCCCTTAATGGTAACCACTATTAACAGTTTGTTGTGTTTAAATATATATGTGTACAAACATCTTTGTGACCTATCTAGTGTTACTTTTATAAAAGTTAGATCCATTGTAAGATTTCTCAAAGTACAAATATGAGCATGTTCGTTTACATGTCCCCAAAATGCAGTCTTCCTGAGGCAGACAATAGGAAGAAGCAAAAGTATATAAACTTAAAATTATGCTCAGTAAATCAGCTTCTTCCAGGTCTCCCACGCAGGTGCAGGGGCCCAAGGACCTGGGCCATCTTCTGCTGCTATCCCAGGCCATAGCAGAGAGCTGGATGGGAAGCGGAGCAGCCGGGTCTTGAACTGGCGCCCATATGGGATGCCAGCTCTTCAGGCCAGGGTGTTAACCTGCTGTAGCACAGCGCCGACCCCATGAACTAGTTATGTTTGCTGGAGGTTTACCTTATGTAACTTAAAACCTTTTAATGTTAGTTTCTGTAAGAAAATTTTTTTTTTGTTTTAAAGATTTATTTCAAAGTCAGAATTAGAGAGAGAAAGAGGGAGGCATCTTTTATCCACTGGTTCTCTTTACAAATGACTACAATGTCTGGGGCTGGGCCAGGCTGCAGCCAGAAGCTTCTTACAGGTCTCCCACATGGGTGTAGGGGCCCAAGGACTTTGGCTGTCCTCTGCTGCTTTTCCAGGTACGTTAGCAGGGAGCTGGATTGGAAGTGGAGCAGCTTGGACTCACCATATGGGATGTCGGCACTGCAGACAATGGCTTAGGCTGCTGCGCCACAGCACCAGCCCCAAAAATAATTTTCTAAAAGTACAACACATTTAAAATATTTGAAAATCAACTTGCTTATATTCTGAAAATTTGGCAATATTCAGTTTATGTTTCTGTAAGTTGATCAGAGTGGAGCTACTTTAGGAGACTTTATAATCTACTTTATTGATAACCCCTAGCAGTAGGAAAGCATTATGTGCTCATAGTAACTGGTAAAGACCTTTCTGAGTTATAGACCTGTAGTTGCACAGACACTGAAAGGTCTTACAGCTTGTAATTCTACCATTTTTAGCTATGGGTAAAGAGTTAATATTACAGACACATAAAACCTCACCTATTCATGTACTAGAGAGCTATTCTGCTTCCTGGTGGGCATGAAATTTTTAATTGTTTCAATCTTGAAGTAGATTAAAAATAACCAGTGACTGAACCAGATTTTAGGTTTTTATAAATCATTAATTTGCTTTCAGAGATCCCCAAATGGCAATCCATAAAATCCAGTTCCCAGTCATTGTTGGCAATAATGATGAATAAGTTCCTGACCCTGAATAAACTAAAAACAGGAGTGAAACATAGAGTTGGTGGAGAGGAAACTTAAAATAGAAAGAGCCAAGTTCTGTTACTATTCTTCATTCACTTCTGGAAGACAAGAAAAGACATGTTTGATGTAAACTGCCTTTGAAGTTTATCACTTTGACAAATTTCCCTCGTTGTCTCTGGTAAATCCACTGGGTGTCTTGGTGTGACCCCCGCAACTCATTCAGATATAAAATGAACATATGTTAAAGATGTTATTTATCTCATTAACAAGGGAGTAAGATGTTACAACTGGTTCCAAGGAGAATGCAAAGAATAGAGACATGTGTAGGTCAAGAACAGGTGGATCAGATCTGGCAGGGGTTGGGGTCCATTGAACCTCTGCAGGTTTCTAGACAAGAATTATCTGTTTCCATTAGGCTTCTGTATGTTTGTCTTTACTGAGCTGTAAAGTAACCCATTCACAATTCCTGTGGGGTTAAATTATCCCCAGAGGGTCCAGCATTCCTTCAGAAGGATATCTAATACTTTCCTTGCTTTCAGGACTCTTTAAAGGTTCTTTACAAGGTATGAATTGTTTTATACCACCCCCCCCCCCCCATATACACGCCTATATTCCTGAAGACATTCTTTGTTCTTGGCATTGTGTTAACTTAACCAGGATGTGTATTTGGAACTGTGATTTAGTATGGGTTTTTCTTCCCTTCTGTAGATTTTTTTCTTCATGTATGTATGTATGTATGTATATATATATATTAGAATATATATATATTTGAATTTTTTAAAATTTATTTGAAAGACAGAGTCACAGAGAGAGGTAGAGTCAGAGAGAGAAGTCTTCCATTCCGCTGGTTCACTGCCCAAATGACTAACAGCTAAAGCCGAGCTGATCCGAAGCCAGGAGCCAGGAGCTTCTTCCGGTCTACCACACGGGTTTAGGGACCCAGGGACTTAGGTCATCTTCTATTGCTTTCTCAGGCCACAGCAGCGAGCTGGATCGAAAGTGGAGCATCCAGGGCTCAAACTGGCACCCATATGGGATGCTGGCACTGCACGCGTCAGCTTTAACCTCCTGCACCACAGCGCCAGCCCCCTTTTCCTATATTTTATGGATATTTCCATTATATTCATACCCTGCCTTTTCTCTTGTGTTTGTGTTGTGTTGCTGTTCTTCTTTCGAGATAATAGTTACCTTGTTCTACATTTTCTGTTTAATTGCTTTGATCCTTCTGTCTTTTTCTCCTCAGTACTCTGGCTCTCTTGCTTACTTCTAGCTCCTTGTTCTTACTTCCCACTTTTCTTGGCTTTGTAACATTTCTTTCTAACTGACCAGTTTTTTGTTGTTGTTGTTCATCTTTTTTTTTTTTTAAAGCTTTTACTTAATGAATATAATATTCATAGGTATAACTTTAGGAATATAGTAGTTTTGCTCCCCCCCCAATACCCACCCCCCCACTCCCATTCCACCTCCTACTGCCTCTCTCATCTCATTCTTCCTTAAGACTCATTTTTAATTAACTTTATATACAGAAGACCAATTTCTACAAAGGAGGAATTTCAACAGTTTGTACACATTTTATTTTTGTTTATTTATTTTATTTATTTTTCTTTTCATACTATATGTTGAACTCTTTACTTAACATAGAATTAATCATATATATATATAAAGTCAATTGAAAATAGATCAAAGCTGACCAGTTTTGTCTTTCCCTCTTTGAGCTTTTGTTTTATAAGATGAATGTTCTTAATAGGGTGTTCTCTGTAAGAATGGACACAGTGGGGATCTTTTTCTGTTATGTTTTCTTTCACATTGGATTCCTCCTTTCTTCTGCATCCTGTTTGCTTCTCCCCTTACTTCCACCCCATTTTTGTGTATAGCTGTGTGGCATCTTTTTATCCTGCCCAGGCAACCAGGTCAGACTTTGCTTTTGACTTGATATGATGTGGGTGATATTTCCAAGGTCCTCTCCTGCCCTACTTTCCCTCTTCTGCTTAGTGCACTCCCTCAGTTGTCCTTTTGAGAAGTGTGTGTTGTTCTGTCTGCTTCTCTGGAGCTAAGGGTATGAGGTGGTATTGGTGAGAGAGCCCTTGCAGGGCTTGGGGCTTCCCTGCGATTGTGTTAAATGTTCTGTCCCATTGCCCCCTGCCCCAGGGTCAGCAGAGTGCCTTGGAAGTTAGCAGGGCCTGGTGACCCCTCAGACTCTGCTGAGATTTTGAACCTTCTGTGCCCAAGATGCTTTCCTGAGGCCAAATTAGCTCTTTCCAAATTAGAGGGCTGTAGTAAAACTTTATAAAGTTTTTTTCAAGTCTTATTATCTTATTATCTTTCTCTAATTACTGTTTCCAGGCAATGTAACCAGGCTGGCAGCTGTCTACTGTACAGAATCTTTTCTCTGTCCACTGCTTTTTAAGGTTTATTAAATTCTTAAACAGTTTCCTGTGTGATTGCAGCTGATGGATTTTTGGCTAAAAAATATGTCTGTGTATATTTGTGTGTATAAATATATATATAGTCCCTGTTATTAGTTACTGAAGGCAGGATGTTTTGTAATTGTTTCACCCCACTGTCTTTAGTTGCAAGTCTATGGTTTTCTAAATAGTTACTTTTAATACAGTAACATGCATGTGATCTAGAAACCCTAATTCTCAATTCAGGTTTGACTTGGAATCAGGTTTTCTTTTAATTAAAAAATTTAACAAATTAGTGACAATGTCATCAGATATTTTAGTACTTCTGTCTTATGCCCTAATTTACCAGTTTTTTTCTTTTTAAGTTTTGTGCTCTGTGTGTGCACTGAAATGTTTTGTATTTGTACTTTTTGCTTTATCATTAAAATAGATTTGAGGGATTGGGATGAATGGAAGAATCAGCTTTATTAAATCTTAATGCTTTTCACCCTGGCACTAACTGTAGTGTCTGTTTATGTTACTGGGCAGAAATTCCTTTGAGTTGGTGGCTTAACATGACAGCTGGGCTCTTCAACCCTTAACAGCAGAAGCATTCTTGGCACTATTATATTCTTCACCTAATCCTTCCCATGACTTTAGTAATTAAGGTTTTTAAAATGTATTATAGGTTTTATAAGATCATGTGCTTTTTTTTTTTGCAAAACAAGATCATATTGTCTTACTTTTAAAGGAGAGAATATTCACCCAAAGTAAGAAAAAAAAATACTTGGATTGGAAATTGGAAGTTGTACTGTAGAAGTATTGTCCTTATTTACAGTCAGATTTCATAGTATAATTTTACTGTTTCTGAATTTTCTGTCATCCACAACCCAAGTTTATAGAAGTTTTTAGATAGTGTTATTTCTTTTTGGCTTGAAGTCATTAATTTAATTAGTACCTTTACTGTTGAGTTTTATAAGAATCATGGGTGTTTTTTAGGTTTTTCTGAGTGAATCATGTAAACATATGCATTCATGTTATGTGATAGTACATGCAGTTATCCTTATTTAGAGATTTTTAATCTGTTTTTGTTTTTTCCTCCTCAGATTCTGTCAAACCTTAAGAACAAATGCACCTTTTAGCTCATGGAAGAAAAAACACAAATCAAGACATTTTTGGGTTCCAAGTTGCCAAAGTATGGAACAAAATCTGTAAGAAGTTCACTGCAGCCATTACCAAATGGAACACCTGTTAACTTATTAGGAACATCCAAGAGTAGTAATGTCAAAAGCTACATTAGAAATAATGGCTCTGATTGTCCATTGTCCCATTCATTTAATTGGAGAAAAGCAAATAAATACCAGCTTAGTACACAAAGTGCTGAAGATACTAAGAATCCTAACAGTACTCAGAATTCACATGATAAATTAATTGATCCTGAAAAACATGCTCCTACTCAAGGAGTGTTTGATAGGAATGGGATAAAGGGAGGTTTGAAAAGTGTTTCTTTACTTACATCAAAGTTAGCAAAGCCACCCACTATGTTTGTGTCATCTGCAGAGGAGTTGAACCAAAAGTCTTTTTCCGGACCATCTAATTTGGGTAAATTCACCAAAGGCACATTATTGGGAAGGACTACGTATTCCTCAGTCAGTGCTCCAAAACCACAGTTGAATGGATTTTATGGAAACAGATCAGCTGGTAGCATGCAAAGGCCTAGAGCTAACTCTTGTGCTACCAGAAGCAGTTCTGGAGAAAGCTTAGCCCAGTCCCCAGACAATATTAAATCTATTACTTGTGAAAAAATGGTAAGGTCACAAAGTTTTTCCCATTCCATTCAGAATTCATTCCTTCCACCCTCATCTATAACCAGATCACATTCCTTCAATCGAGCTGTAGATCTTACAAAGCCTTATCAGAACCAACAGCTACCCGTTAGAGTGCCTCTGCGGTCAAGTATGCTAACAAGACATTCCCGGCAATCAGAAGTACTCAATGGGAATGAACATTTAGGATATGGATTTAATAGGTCTTATGCTGCTGGTGGAAAGAAGTTGGCTTTACCCAATGGCCCAAGTGTAACTTCCACTTTGGGTTATAGGATGGTTCATCCCACTCTGCTGAAATCTGGCCGACTTCCATTTCCTGGAACTATCACAGTTGATAGTAATAAAAATTCAACTGCTGACACTTGTATAGAGGAAGATGCTACAGTTTTGACTAAGGACAGAACTACTGATAAGGACCAAGAACTAATTGAAAATGAAAGTTACAGAACGGAAAATGGCCAGACCATGAAACACGATGGTAAAATTAGATACCTGAGTGATGATGTGGATGACATTTCCTTATCTTCTTTGTCATCTTCTGATAAGAATGATTTAAGTGAAGACTTTAGTGATGATTTTATTGATATAGAAGACTCCAACAGAACTAGAATAACTCCAGAGGAAATATCTCTCAAAGAAGAAAAACATGAAAATGTACCACCAAAGGATATATTTGATTCTTGCAAGGAAAATGAAAAATCCTTCAGTAAAACTGATGAATGGATCGACATCAGTGTCTCTGGTAAATACTAATACCCTTAAGTTTGTTTTTTTTTTCTCTTTAATAATGTAACTGAGTTTATATTTAGGATTATTTTCTGATATATTGCAATGTGCTATCCATTTCACTGGGGGATAGACCCAGATAGAGTTGAAGTGAGGCAGCATCTATCTTCCTTCCTTGTCACTTGCTGCCTACCCTGTTTTTCATGATACCTAAAATAACATCATTGAGAGCACTGCTGCCTGTGCTCTTCTTTAGCTGTCTTATGCAGGCCTGTTCCTCCTTCGTATCAGCACTGTTTTTCAAGTGATTTTTTTCCTCCCACTTTCCCCCATTAATGGATCCCATAAAATAAACCATTTCTTCCCATAGTATAGTAGATCATAACTACTTGTTAACAGCAAAGCTGTACCAAAATGCAAACAAGATAATATAGGTTATGTCCAATAGAATAGATTCTTTATCCTAGGAAAAATTTTTTTTGTTTAGCAATTTTTATAATTATACTTCTAGAAAACTATATTTTTTTAATTGAAGAAAGTGAGGTTGTACCTGCTAAACATTTCCTCTTAACAAGTGCTGGGGAGATACTTCTGTGTAGTTGTATAGCCTGCTAAATTAACAAACTGAAGGGACGGGATACAGGTGCATGTTCTAATCAAGGGACTAGGTTATGCCTAGAGATGTACATAAATCCTTGAGTAACTGCTGGTCTTTATTTAAATATTTTTGTTGGACACATAATATTTGTTTCTGTTTATGGGATACAGTGTGATCTTTCCATGCAGCTGGATGTCGTGTAATGATCAGAGCTGGGCAGTTGGCATAACTATTGCTTCTGTTTGCCAGCCTTCTACAAGTGACTGTCAGAACAAGTTCTTTTACCTTATAAGGAAGTAGCTATGAGATTAACTAATACATACAGAGGAGATTTCCTTACCAGTGGTTAAAAGTAAATATTTGGGAAATATTAAAGGAATATGAAGCTTTGTTTATAGTTTTAGAAATGTTGCAGAAATGAAAAATGGCTAAATGAGTTTTCTTTGTGTCAGTTACAAAACACATCAGTCAATAATTTTAAGATTTTGCATTTTGAGTTTTTCTTGTTTAGGAGTTAGAGCACAGTTAGAAATGCTTTTTTGGGGGCTGACCAACCTTTTTGTTGCAATATATCAAATTATTATAACTTATATTTTTAAAGCATGACAAATAATTATATTTTGGTGAATTAATCTCTCTCTTTCTCTCTCTCTCTCTCTCTCTTTAAATCAATTGAAGACAAGAGTGAATGTACCAAACACACTTCTGGGAATAACTTGATTTCACCAGATACAGACTATAGAGCTGGTTCTTCATTTGAACTATCTCCATCTGATAGCTCTGATGGTACCTACATGTGGGATGAGGAGGGCTTGGAACCCATTGGAAATGTCCATCCTGTTGGGAGCTATGATTCCTCCGAAATGAACAGCATAGTATGTATGGATTTGTATACATTTTTGGAATATTTTGTTTGCCTTACTGTAAAGAGACTTGTGATACTGGTGGAGATAAAAAAAAAAAGTTTGAGAAATAGGAATTCACATCTGTTAAGGGCCTATAAAATATCTGACCCTAGTATATAACAAAGCATGGAGAGTATAATATTTGACTTAAACATATGCACACATACATAGACACATATGTTAATCATACATGTATAATGTATATGTGTGTATATATATGTATATACCAAAATGGTCAGGTTAAGCCTGGGCCAGTGTGAAGGGAAGGAGAAGGGAGAGAAGGGAAGGAGATATCTATTGCAAGTAATGTGGGTAATATGCCATATGAATAAAGTATAATTGGTGTGTTTAAAGTGCCTCAGTGTAATTCAGTATATAATATAATCATATAATTCAGTATATGAATTTCCAAAAAATCTAATTGTAGCCTTGGTGGTTATATTAAATTCCAAGTGGATTTTAGGCATTGTAATTTTCTGTACTTGTATAAACCTGTGACTTGAAAAACAGATGCTATTAACTGTGATTCATTAACTTAAATAGAACACATATTTAGAGAGAGTATCTTTATCCCCTCAGAAAAGATTAGTTGTGCTTTTTAACTGGGACCTTTTAAGGAGAGTGTGGTTGAAGGGCAAAGGAAATTATGTCCAGCAGGTGGCAGCAGTAAGCCACTTTATACTTGACATTTTTCAGATTCACCATCTTCAGTTCTCTGCTCTGTAACTAATGAACTCTGCAAGAGTTCAGAATGGGTCTGGATTGATCTTTGGTTTGTAAGATTCATGAGTTTCCTCCTTGATCAGCAGGATTGTGTGTATTGGATAGGAAGTAACAAAGGTGTTCATTTCTGTGCTTTGGATAAAGATGAAGTATTTTCAGTTCCAAGGGAAGACAGAAAGTGGGAAAGAATGGAGACCTGATGGCAAAAGTAGTGTGTTGAGCTCTCCTCATGTGATAGTGGATTTATCATTTTATTTTGTTCTGAAGTGTCATTAATTTTTTGCTGTGTCTGTTAAGCTCATGTTGTTAGGTATGTGCGTGTACTTACTATATGATCTTCTCTATCTCTGGCTTTCTGTTTTAAAACCTTTATTTTTTTCCAGATATAGTATAATTAACCACTTTTATTTATATATTTCCTTCCTTTTATGATCAACCTTTTGGATACATAGCAATTAGCTGATTATTTTTTAAAAATTTGTGTTATACTTTTTGTTTTTTTAAAGATGTTTTATTTATTTATTTGAGAGGTAGAGTTACAGACAGTGAGAGGGAGAGACAGAGAGTAAGGTTTTCTGTCCGTTGGTTCACATCTCATTGGCTGCAACGGCCGGAGCTGCGCCAGTCTGAAGGCAGGAGCCAGGTGCTTTCTCCTGGTCTCCCATGCAGGTGCAGGGCCCATCTTCCATTGCTTTCCCAGGTCACAGCAGAGAGCTGAATGGGAAGAGGAGCAGCCGGGACTAGAACCGGGGCCATATGGGATGCTGGTGGTGCAGGCGGAGGATCAACCTACTGCGCCACCATGCCGGCCCCCCCAAATTTGTGTTTTTCTTTTAACCAGTGCATTGGTTCAATTACATTTGCATTTATTGCTATATTTGGACTTTTTTGTTTACCTTATTATTCTGTGTTTCAGTTTTCCTTTCTTTTCCTAAAATATTTAAAATTGCTGTCTCTAACTAAATGAAAAAAGAACCTAGCATGGTCTCACTTTCCTTGGTTTCTACAACAGTATTGATTCCAGTACAGGTCAAATAAAGAACTCTCACCCAAATGTGTGTCATCTGTGTCACTACTAACACAGGTTAGTTCAACCCACTGTTGCTTGTATTGTTTCAGTTGCAAGACTTTCTTTCTGAAGGAAGTGAAGCGTCATACATTCTGGTTCAATAACAAATTGTTTATACACTGAATACTTTGCATAATACTAGTCTAGAATCCTAGCTCTTTGAATGCCTCCAGTATTTTGTTGAGGGATAACTTATATTTAATAAAATGCACAAATCTTCTGCAGACAGCCCAGACAAATTTTGACAAATGTCTATACTCATTTGTCAATCATCAAGATTAATATATACAATATATCTGTCACTCCAGAGTGTTCCCTTCCTGTTCTTTTGAGTTATCCGCTCATCCTGCAGAGGGGCAACCACTATTGATAACTATCGCTGTAGATTTGTCTTGCCTATTCTTGAACTCCCTGTAACTGGTACAGTTTTTTTTTTTTTTAATATTTATTTATTTGAGAAACAGTTACAGACAGGGAAGTCTTCTGTCCACTGGTTCTCTCCCCAGTTGGCCGCAGTGGCTGGAGCTGCACCGATCCAAAGACTAGAACCTGGTGTGCCGGCGCCGCAAGGCAGAGGATTAGCCTAGTGAGCCGCGGCGCCGGCCCTCAATAAACTTTTGGTTGATATTTAACTTTCTTGAATATGAAATACAGTGTTTTTTTTTCTGATAAATATTATCATAATCACATGTGCACATTATTAGGCACAAACGTTTTTTCTTCTTGTAAGCCACAGTGAGCCCAGCTCAAAATCCTTTTTGCTGTAGTGCTTTGGCCACTGTGACAGCTGTCATTGAGGAGGAGTTGAAGTTCAGCTACAGTGTCATAATGATGACTTGTTAACACTAAAATATTTAGAAAGTGATAATTTTGAATCATCACATGGAGTACTTTTATTTTTGGAAGGATTTTTATAGGAAGCCTGAGGAAGTATTTGAATCAGATGATCTCTGAAAGTATCTTTTTATTCTTTGTTTTTACCTACTTTGCCTTATTTTCATATACTAGGCAAGTTTAATTCCTTATCATTTAAATGAGTCTTTTCTCATTTCTGAGGATTATATTCTAGTGTTTTTTTTTCTCCCTTTCTGTATTTGTGTCTCTCATCTCTGATGGTGATAAGCCTGACATCTGTTCTGTAAAACATTTGCTTATTTGAACAACCTCCCTCTGTGAAACTGATTTCCCTTCTTTGTGCCACTGTCTGACTCCTCTTCACCTGTACTGCAGATCTGATGAATGTATGGCATTGTTTTTGGACATCTTTTTTTTTTTTTTTTTTTTGGACAGGCAGAGTGGACAGTGAGAGAGAGAGAGACAGAGAGAAAGGTCTTCCTTTGCCGCTGGTTTACCCTTCAATGGCCGCCGCGGCCAGCGCGCTGCGGCGGGCGCACCGGGGTTAATCCGAAGGCCGGGAGGCCAGGTACTTTTTCCTGGGCCTCCCAGGGGGTCCAGGGCCCAAACCACTTGGCCCATCCCCCCACCGGCCCCCCCCGGGCCCCAGCGAAAAGTTGCCCGGAAAAAGGGCAACCGGGGAAAAAAACCCGGCACCCCCGAATGGGAATTAGAACCCGGGTGTGCGGGCCCCGAAAGGGGGGGATAAGCCAAAGGGATTTGCGGGGGGGGCTGGAAATTTTTAACCTAAAAAATAAAACAACCCCCAACAAGAATTTGTTTTAATTATCTGGCCCCCCCCCTTCTTCCGGAGAAGAAAGAAAACAGGACCCTGCGCTGTTCTTTTGTCTGCTCGGCCCTCCCCGGGTTTGCTGCTGGTTCTTCCTGGGTTGGCTACCGACCCTTCCACCTCCATGGAAGGGCGGTGCCCCCTGCCACTTTCCCCACTTCCGCGGGGGAGCGGCACACCGCCGGCCGGCTCTCTCGGCGGCTGCTCAGATGTTCCTTCAGTTAGATGTTCCCCTTAGATGTTCCTGGTGCATGTTGTCTCTCTCCTCCTTTATAGTCCTCTTCCACCAATCCCAACTCTGCTACCCACAGGCCTAGTACGCTGCTCTCCTCCAATCAGGAGCGGGATCAGCTCCTGCAGGTTACTGGTTGAACTGGAGGCAGCTGTGTAAAAGTTGTTTTTACCCCTCTCCCAGCGCCATATTGTGGGAGAGCAGATGCATAGAATAAGTCTTAATTCCAGTAACTTAGTCTAGTCCGAGTTGCTCCCCACAATTATCAAAATGAATGACATAAAAAATCATGAGCAGTGCTTCTGTGTATAGGATCTGGATCATCTTATGTGATTAGTGTGGACACTTGGGTCTAGAAGTATCCAGAGAGCCAAAAACTTTATTTCTACAAACATTGGTTTAATGTAGAATTTGTTAAACATTGCTTTGATTTATAGAGAATATAAATTAAATTACCTTATTGATCCGTGTATGTGAAAGTTTTAATTATAATCAATCAGGAAAATGCATAGTATCTTGTGTTGGAAGAATTTGTAAGAATTTTGGGGTCAGCTTAGTCCTAAGGACTTAAAAGACATCTATACTGAAATTGCTTTGAAGAGGAAAAAATTTGTTGTTTGGAAAAAATATGTTGTTTGGAAAAAATATAATATGTATGATATTATATTTACTGTGAGTTATAGAGATGTTTGGAAAAAATACAACACATGATATTATGCTTATTGTCAGTTGTAGAGATAAAGAATTTATTATCCTTTAATATAAAGGAATCTTATTAAGGATGCTAGGCATCCAGATTTTTTTATTTTTGAAATGAATCAGACTTCATGAAAAACGTATTTTTCAATCTATTGGCATATTAATTTTCTCTTGTTACTGTAACAAATTACTGAAAATTTAATGGCTTAGAACAACACACATTCATTATCGTACTATATTGGAGCTCAGAAGTCCAAAAGGGTCTCAGCAAGTTGAAAGCAATCAAGGTTGGCCAGCGCAGTTCCTGTTGTGTGCTCTCGGGAAGAATCCACTTTCTTGCTTTTTCCAGGAGCCTGCATTGGCTTTCTTCCATCTTCAAAGTCTCATTTCACTTCACTTCAGCCCGCCTCTTCTTTTTAAGGACCCTTGTGATGGGGCTGGCGCCGTGGCTCACTTGGTTAATCCTCCGCCTGTGGCGCCGGCATCCCATATGGGCGCTGGGTTCTAGTCCCTGTTGGTCCTCTTCCAGTCCAGCTCTCTGCTGTGGCCCGGGAGTGCAGTGG